GATGTAAGCAGTGGTGGTGGGGGGGTTCTTGCTTTTCTCTGCAATGAGCCATCAAGAAATTTGAGAACATTTTAGACTCTTACTGTGAAAAAATAAAATGCCTTCTGTGAGTCCCGCTGCTGTGGAAGTAATAAAGACAACAGCTTGGATTGTTTCAAATAAAATTGTTAACATGTTAAWTTGTAGTTAAATCAGTAAGTGTGTTGTAGTATTTATGGTATTTATCACTCGTTACTGTTATCTTCACAAGCTTTCACTTGTAAAGAACAGACCACACCTTAAATAATTAGGATATTAAARCATTTTGCTTTATTTTTGATCACATCTTTTTTGTGGCGGCTATAAGGTGTGACTTTTGTCTTCATGGTCGTGTGTGCAGGAGTGGGCTGGAACAGGACGACATGAGAATCCTGTACAAGTATCTGACCACCTCGCTGTTCCCCAGGCACTCAGAACCAGAGGTATGTGGACGGTGGAAACGAGAGTCGCTGAATTAAACTAAGAGAAATTGATTTAGTTTCTTGAAACGTGAACTGTGGAAAATAATGATCAAAGAAAATGTGGGGGTTGTTTGAAATGTCTTCAGCTTTAAAAAAAAAAGTGTAAAATGAAGCTGTTAATGGAAAGCTACTGATTTTATTTAATGAGTTTAATTAGTAGTAAATGTGTTTAATTCATCTGGTAGRACAGCTTATAATTGTGGCTTATGTTTAGCATAAAATTCAACGCTATAGGCAATCCCACACATTTTAATAAATTTATTTTGTCCTTTTCTCTTTATTTCATCTCATCCCAGTTGGCYGGCAGAGACTCTCCTCTGAGGCCAGAAGTTGCAGGAAATTTGTTACACTATGGAAGGTAAATCCCTAATCCTTTATGCGTGCCTAACTGTCTTATTTATTTTTTTAATCTTGCTCTGTGCAGATGGACAGTTTGTACCAGCAAATCCTGGACACATCAGGAACAATGCTCTGAATGTGCAAACTAGTTTTAACACACATTTGTTTTTTTGGGGGTGGGACGCTGATAAATACATTACAAAAGCTTCTTGGCTAAACAGTGTTATCACCAAGGTAAAGTATGTCAATACTGTCTCTGTAGCTGAAAACAGTTTGCTTTAGTGCTAGATTAGGGTTAATTAAAGGAATTAATGTTTGCTGAAATAGGTCCAAGTGTAACTGGTGACCCATCATGAGACAGGAAATACAGGATTTAATGCAACATAAGCTTACTTTATGAAAACAAGATAGTTCTGATAAATTAAATTATGGAGGGCTGGAAATAGCCCTGAGAAATCCTGACTTTTGAAAAGAGGGTTTTATTCTTCAAAATGAAGGAGTGAAGACAGAGGCAGCAGAGGGAGACAAAAAAGAAAGCACAGGTGTTTCCCCTCACTAAAAACAAATACATATGTTGTAAAAAATGAAAACAAACTCAATTTTAGGGAAATAGAGAACTGGAGGCTGAGGAAGAACTACAGCTGTCATACCACAGTTTGAATTTAGATTAAAAATGGCTGCTATAAAGACCAAAGTCTGGCTTTGTTAAATGGACTCATTTTGTTCCCTAATTTCAAAAATTGTTTTTATACCGACCTGGAGTACTTGGTGATTTGTATGGTAAACGTTTGATTCATTTTTGACACAAAAATTTGATTAAAATCAGGAAAATGATTCTATAAGTTAGTTTGTATAAACATCTTGTGTTGCTGTCTAAGTTTGAATGTTGGTTTGTATTTAATTACATTCAGTTGTTTTGAGATTTGGACACGTGGTTAACCTAAAATGGCCAGTAACACACCATTATAGTTTCAGAGATAATGTTTACTAAACTTGATCTGTTACTTTTAGCATCCGATTACATTTTATTTGCCAACTATTTTTTTGTTGTGCATGAACTAGACCTGTGGTCCTCAACCCTGATCCTCAAGGGCCACTATCCTGTAAGTTTTAGCTGCTTCCCTGCTCTTCAGCAGAGATAATAAAGTACTGAAATAAATAAGTAAAATTAAAAATACCTCAACATAAAATGACTTCGCTAAAAATTAATTTAACTGATAAGAAAAGTACTGAAGTAAAAGTCATAAAACTGCTCCCAGTAATCAGGGAAGTAAAAATGGATTTACACACACTCTGTGAAGTGTTGAATTTCCTTAAACTGGTTCCACTTAAGGCCCTGTCACACCAGACAACTTATGCCAACTTATGAAACATTTTCAATACCAGCTTCAATGTAGACGTCTTTAAAGGGATCCGTGATTAGTTGTAACATTAGACTTTATTTGATAAACATATATTTTAACTGTAAAATAAAGACTGTAAAAATACTGTAGGATGTTTAGTTTTGTAAATTTTTAAAAATGTATTTTAACACGGATGAGGCCATTTTATTTACTCACAAAACATTCTGGGTAAATGATGACATGGATAGATCCTCGGTGTGAGCGAGTTATATCCACCCTGAAGGTTAATCTTGGACAATATCTGATGATCGACTCTTTTAAATGAAACCAGAGAGCGTTGACAGAGAGGAGAAGGTAGAAATGWCTCADYCTGKAACTGAAAATATGGATGGAGGACAACAGAGCTGCTTCATGGAAGAAGAACCTCAGCTTAGCCTGTTAGCTTTAGAGTTAGCCCCGACGCTATGATTGATTGATTGATTTTATTTAGCAATAATATTGTATGTACATAAACATCTAGTACATTCATTATTAGTACTTGGATAACACAAGAAAGTGAGAAACACTTATTTCCATTGTGGTCCAAAAATTAAGTGACAGAGTTCTATGGGGGAGAATATAGACACAATGATGAGAAGCGAGGTACAATGATGGAGAAAAAGGTTATTAAGTTTCAGACAGTCAGAAAGGTATGCAGATACAACAGAACAGATAAGAATATGAGAAGATGAGTTTGAGTTTGAGGGCAYAGTGAAGGGATTTAACTCCTCTTCGTGGAGACTGTTTAGTAGAAGATTTTTTCCCTTTGATTTAAAATTCTCTATGCGGTGTATTGACTGTATTTGTGTTGGGAGATCATTTCATGCTTTGGCTCCAGAATAGCTGAAAGAAGTCTGACCGAAGGATTTTGAGGTGGGGATAACTAGAGACAGTGGGCCAGATCGGGTGTTGTTGCACTTTTCATTTACAGTGACCAGGGCCTTAAGACGGGAGGGAGCTTTTCTGTGCAGGATATTATGTATGTGATTTAGCTTCAGTTGTTTTACTCGGAGGTGAACTGGAAGCAGTTGAGCCTGAACAAACTCAGAGTGACCTATATGTGTACGAGGATTGGCATTCAGGAGGTACAGGAGTATTTTATTTTGTGAAGTCTGTAGCTGAGTTTTCAGTTTTTTGAGAAGGCCTGAATACCACGATGTACATGCATAGTCATAATGACTTTGTATGAGAGATGAGATTAGCATTTTTTTTAATGTTGAAATGTCTTGTCTGCCTGTACAGAAACTTAAGTTTGGCATTAGATTTTCTGATGACAGTGTCAGCTGTTTGACTGCCTGAGAGTGTTTCATCCAGCACCACACCTAAGTATTTAACACTTGGTTTGCTGGAAAGGGGGTGGCCATCACAATTAACGTCCAGTGGGTCTTTACCATTGAGCCTTCTTTTGGATCCAAAGAAGATTGTTTCTGTCTTTCTGAGATGAAGAGATAGCTTATTGTCTGTAAGCCATTCGTGGATAGAGTGAAGTTCTGATGTTAGGCTTTGTTGAATTTTTAGAGTGTCCTTAGTAGGAGAGCTGAGTCATCTGCATATAAAGCAGCTTGCAGTTTACAGCAGCAGACTTGTCATTAACATATATGAGGAATAGTAACGGTCCAAGAATGGAACCCTGTGGGACTCCGCATATCACTTTTATTGTAGTGGATGTTACGCCTCTGATATCTACATACTGCTGTCTGTTAAGTAGGTAGTCCTTGAACCAGTTTACTGCTGGTTTCTGGAGCCCCGGGGCTTCCAAATTACATATGAGAATACTGTGATCCACTGTGTCAAAGGCCTTTTGTAAGTTGAGAAGGACCATATCTGTGAGGTTGTCTTTATCTTGCTCTGACTTGATAAAATCGGTGAGGTAAATTAAGCATGTGTCTGTAGAATGAGAGGATCTGAAACCTGACTGGAGTGCGTATAAAAGTTTGTGGTCTGTGAGATATTGGTTGAGTTGCTCATAGACTGTTTTCTCAATCAGTTTGCTGACAACACTGAGAAATGAGATGGGACAATGGTTGCTAACCTCAGTTTTACTGCTCTTTTTGTGAATAGGGGTAATTTTAGCATATTCAAGTTCGGAAGGGATACTACCTGTTGACAGACAAATTTATAATGTSTGTTAGTGGGGAGGTGATCCATGGCACCATCTTTAATGAATCTGGGGGGTATTTGGTCTGGTCCAGTTGCCTTGTTTGGGTTTAGATTTTGAAGGTTTTTGAGGACAGTGTCCTCTGTTACGTGTTTGAATACAAATTAAGCACCTGAGTTTATCCATTTGCTGTAGAATTGCTTTATGTAGGTCGGGCCAAACCTCCCACGTCCCATGGGTAATTTTATAGTAGAGAAGAATCAACAGTCGAGAAGCACCTGTTAAAGTTTTCAGCCACCTTTTGCTTGTCAAAGCATATATCATTTTTTATTTTGAGGCCAATGTTGTGGTTGGATGTTTTAATGTTAGAGGAGGTGCCAAGGCTTTTCAGTTTATTCCATAGTTTTTTTTTTGGGCTGGTTTTTACATTCTYCCATCTTGTTCATAAAATAGTTTGATTTYGCTTGGGCCTTTTTAGATTGAACCAGGTTTCTTAGTGATACTTATTTGTCATGCCATTCTTGGTTCTTAGTTTTTCTGAACTGACTGAAAGTATGTTTCCTTTGGTGAATTAGGTGGAGAACTTCACCCATCATCCAGAGATCTGTGTTTTGTTTTATACGTACTAGTTTTAAGGGAGCAATTTTGTCTAGAACCTCCAGGAATTTTTTTTTGAACAGTGACCATTCCTCTTCAATATTACTACTATTTATGACTTCATGCCAGTTAATATTACTAAGCAGTTGTTCAAACTCTTTAGTATACTTTTTTAAAGATCRTATTTTAGCTGTGTTGTGTTGGTGTGCTCTAGTTTTTATTATTTTTCTGGTACAGTAGGTCAGCAAGTAGTTGCTTAGACCAGTGCTAATGACACCACTTTGGCTAATTTTTGTCTGGTCAGAAACTAGAATGAGATCTAATATAGAAGATGAAGTTGGTGTTATYCTGGTTGGAACATTTGTGATTTGAAAATAAATGACAAAGAGGGGAACGCAAAAATGACTCAGCCTGCAACTGAAAATATGGATGGAGGACCTCAGTTTAGCTTGTTAGTTTGTCGCGCTAGCGCTGAGCTAATAAGGCAATAGTGTCAGCGCTAGCGCGAACGCTAACAGGCTAAGCTGGTGTTCTTCTTCCATGAAGCAGCTCTGTTGTCCTGCATCCACATTTTCAGTTACAGGCTGAGTCATTTCTACCTTCTCCTCTCTGTCAACGCTCTCTGGTTTCATTTAAGTGTTGATCATCAGATATTGTCCAAGATTAACCTTCAGGGTGGATATAGCTCGCTCACACCGATGACCTATCCACGTCATCATTTACCCAGAATGCTTTGTGTTTAAATAAAATAACTCCATCTGTGTTAAAATATGTTTTTAAAAATTTACAAAACTAAACAGACTACATACAGTATTTTTGCAGTCTTTATTTTACAGTTAAAATATAGGTTTATCAAATAAAGTCTAATGTTACAACTAATCAGGGATCCCTTTAAAATGTTCATAAGTTGTCTAGAGTGACAGGGCCTTAAACTGAGTATAGCAATTTACACATTTATATTTACTCAACTTGGTTCAGTGGAACCAGTTGACCTGACTTGGTTAAATAAATTCACCACTTCATTATTTAGAGTGCATAAACAACTCTTTACATGATGAGTTTGGTCATATTGAAATTGGTAATGTGTAACTTTTGTAATTTTAAAGTTAAATTATAATTTTCATGTTTTGAGTGTTATGTAATTAAAGTAAAAGTTACAATTAAAAAATACTTTGTAAAATTACAAATCCTCAAAAAAAATTTACTTAAGTAATGTAACAAAGTAAACATACTTAGTTACTGTACACTTCTGCGTTTCAGCCGGTCTTCAAGTACTGCCAAAGCTTGTTAATCACTAATTTATTTAAGTCAGGTGTGTTGGAGCAAAGAAACATCTAAACATGCAGAGTAGTGGCCTTCAAGGACCAGTACTGAGAACACTTTTATTTCAGAAAGAAAAAGGAAAATGATATACAGTATCTGAATACCACAGCAAGTAATGGGTGACGGGGGCCTATCTTTGAAAAAATGTTCAAATGTAGCAGGTTTCAAGATGGCGGCCGTGTTCTGGACATAGCCTAAAAGACAGCTTCCCTTTTTCATTACTCTCTGGGATGTTAAATGTAATTTTCCCTTTTCTTTCTGAAATAAAAGGATGTCCTGAGTCTTTTGACTCAATCTGTGAYTCAGTGGTTTCAGGCTTCTGTCATCTTGTCACCTCTGTGGCTGAGTGGTTAAGGGAGTTGTCCTCTAATTTAGAGAGTTGGCAGTTCAATTCCCCACTACTCAGTCTCATGTCGAAGTGTCCCCGAGCAAGACACTGAACTCCCACTGCCTCTGACGTGTGTCCCATCAGTGTATGAGTGTGATTTAAAGCACTGACCATTAACTATGAAGACACAAATATGGTCACAGGTCCAGTTTTTGTCAGGTTTAAAGGGAACCGTTTTTGATTTTTATTCCTAAATAATCACTTTAACATTTACAGCTGAGAATGATAGAAATAAGTTGGTTTGTCAGACACGTGTTTGTCAAGATTAGAATAATTTAWATTGGTAACTTGCAGAAAATGTCAGGGTTTGTCAGACATTTTCATACAMCAAACACTTCTAGGGTCATAGCTCCGACATTTAAAATGTTTTCTGTCTCTTTATCACAAGATGAACCCTTTCTGTTTTAGAACCACGATAACCTTTACTTTCTCCTAAATAAAACCATAAATGTCAAACTGATGATGCATACGCCATGGTTTATTTTATTTTCTCAGGTTTTTAACTGGACCCACGAACCTCAAAGACCCAGAGGCCAAGTTCAGATTTCCAAAAATATTCGTCACAACCCACGGCGGCTACGAGGAGCTGCATCTGGTTGTGTACAAGGTGCGTTCAGACACGYGTGATGCTGTTTCCTGTTTACAGACGTGTCGATGTGGAAACCAATGAGACGGTGGAGGAGTTGCTCATTTTCAGGATGAATCTCATAATATGTGAARGGAGGGATTTGTGTTCTGGTTTATTAATGCTGGATTTAGGATAAAATATTCCACAACGGATGTTCAGGATTAGACTTCTCAATTTTGAAATGAAGTGTATGCCACAATGCAAGTCATCGCATTAATGTGATTTCTGACCTAGATTCTGTGTAACCTCCACTGATCTGCTATTTTTTTCAGGCTATGAGTGCTGCTGCCTGTTTTATGATCAGTGGTAAGTTTAGTTCTGTTTTTTATGCTRAGTTCCTTTATTTTTTTATGGTTTTCTGAAGGTTTTTTTTTTTTTTTGGTATTGTAATTTAGCTTTTTGCTAAGGGCATACTACATTTTCTCCCTCCTACGCCTACAAATGGTTAACTTTCGTCATGTTTTATATTTCCCCCCAGCTTCTGTAGAGCTGACACGAGAGTTCTGCGAGCAGCTGGACAGCTTGGTGGGCCCTCAGCTCACACTGCTGGCATCAGATATATGTGAACAGTTCACCATTAACCGCAGGATATCTGGGTTAGTCACAAATCCACTGCTTTCTAAACTCAGTGTCCTTTAATGGAATTTAAGGAAGTGTGATTAAAACCCCATAGCATCATGACATTGCAACTGTTACACAAAGTGTGTTTCTGTGACTTTTGGTTTCAAACCAGCATACACTCCATAGACAAATTACAATACACTTAATCTAAGTTTTGTAAAAATATAAGGTTTTTGTAAGTATTTTCTTTTATAGTTTATAAATTTTGTCCTCTGCAGAAATTCAGACACCCCAAGATTTTGTTGTGAGTAATTTAAAAAAAAAGAAAGTTTTGATATTGTGTCCAAAATGTTCTTACAGATGACAAATGATACCACTTGCTTGAATTTTCTGGTTCTCAGCAGTTCCCAAAGGTTTCAGTTTGAGACCCTCAAAATAATAGTTGGGGTCATAGGCCTCTAATACCAGTTTAATTATTAAACCTTTATCAAACAAAGGCATCATTACAACACAARAGTTAAGAAAGGTTTTGTCTTTTCAAAATATTTTTTTCAGTCTGAGGAGATTCAGGTAAGCTCAGYCTTCTTACCTTCTTATAGTGAATCAACCAATTTGTCTGTGACTCCTGAAACTGGTTTTCCACATGGAAAAGGAGGACCATCAGCCTAACGATTGATCATTAGTGCCCTGATGGCCGCTTGTTGCTCACAGGGGGCTGAGTCATACTTACAATAACAGCATTGTAAGAGGGGGACAACTGGACATGAAGGCCTCCACCTCTGTTTAATGATGGACGGTCTTTCTTCACAAAAATGGCTTCTTTTACTCCTCTCTCAAACCAACATTCCTCTCTATCAAGGATGAGAACATCTTCATCCCTGAAAGAGTGACCGCTGGCCTGTAGATGAATGTAAACTGCAGAGTATTTGCCTGATGATGTAGCTCATCTGTGCTGGCTCATTCTTTTGAACAGTGGCTGTTTTGTTTCCCCGATGTATAACTGATCACAGTCCTTCTGACACTAAACAGCATACACAACATTACTCTGTTTGTGCCAGGGAACTGGATCTTTGGGGTGAACYAATCTTTGTCGTAATTTGTTTTTGGTGAATAAAAGCCACTGGGACGTTTTGTTTAGAGAATAAACTTCTCAGTTTCTCTAAACTCCTTCAACATATGGAGTGACCGCTGGTTTAGGTCTGGGTTTCCTTTTCACATGATGGCTGCTGGAGTCCTGTTTTGGTTTTGGCCATCAGAGCACTAACAATGGGTTGTGTTTTGGATAAAATATGAAAGTTTCAACAAAGAAGAACCCATCTAGAGAACCTGATTCAACCTTGTAATACAATGATTGAATAATAATTACTTTTTATTTAAACTATTCTGCAACTTAATCAGCTGAATCACTGTTTGGCACCTAAAATACAATCAGACTACAGGAGTAAAAGAGAATTCCACATGAAAACAGAAAAGTTTATCACAAAACAAACACAGATTCACCTTTAATGTTATGGCAGGTAATTCAAAATTTAAATCCACAGATCTTAAAAGTGAAACCATCTACAAAAAATAATAATCAGCATAAAGAATCTAAASTGAATGGGACATTTGTGTATCTCTAGTTGAAAGTTCTCGGTGTTCAGATCCACTGTGTCACTCAGCCGAGCTGGCAGTGATGGATAAGACTCTAATATTACTGGATATCATTGTAGCACTACTTAGGGGTAACTCAAGCACCGCTGCATTAAGGACTGGCATCCTGGTCCACGCTCCTTTAACCCCAGCAGTTAGCTTTAGATAAGTCCTGGTCTGTAATATAAAACCAGCCGTGGCAACTTGATGGGCTCCTAATCAACTTAGTGAAGAATACACTGAATAAATAACGAGGCTCCAAATTCTTCAAGCTGGCACACAAGTCTTTGTCCTGACATTGACTTGGTAATTACACACGTTGATTAAAAAATGTTTTATTTTTACACAACAGTCTGCAGAAATAAGCCATTCAAATGCAATGCTTTTTAATGCACAGAAACCATGTGTAACTACTATAGTGTTTTCATTTTCTCTTTAGTTTATGGATCTGCTTTTATTTATGTTTGTGTGTCCACTCAGGCCAGAGAAGGAGCCCCAGTTTAAGTTCATCTACTTTAACCACATGAACCTGGCAGAGAAGAGCACCATTCATATGAGGAAAACCGCCACCGTTTCTCTCACTTCGGTCCAGTCTGACCTCATGAAGATTCTGGGAGACATCAACTGTGACTTTGCGAGGTACAGCAGAGGACGCCGRCCCTTTGAACCAAACTTTCCTCCTGATGAGAAAATGTATCAAACTAGAAACTCTCATATCATCTCTTACAAAAAAAATACAATTCAGGAGCTCCTAAAATACTATTTATACGTGATGCAAAGCTGAAAGATTACACTTTTACATATTCATGGACTAAATTATGCCCATTACATTTTTGTACCTTCTCATTTTTTTAAAGGGGCAATATCAGTAAGATCAACTTTTTTTAGCTTTAAATCATATTATAATGGTTATCCTTTCATCAAAAACATGCCCAAAGTCTTGCTTTGACTCATTCATGCATGTTTGAGAAGGTGACATAGTTACTTTATTATGGTATAGAATTTAAATAAATGCCTGAGAAACACATAACATTGCCCCTTTAAGTTGTCATGAGATAGAAATAATGTGGAAGTCCCTTATTTCTGTTTGTGGTATTGTGGCACACATGTCTGTATTGTGCATTGCATTAACAATATCAGTACCTCTTTTTGTTCAAGTGGTGCTGTAAGTTTTAACCAGCTCCAATTATTTATGTAACTGTGAAAGCTGCTTGTTTTGAAAGGGTGCTTAGTTCTTCTTTTCTGTCTTCCAGGGTTGATGAAGATGAGGAAATCATCGTAAAAGCTATGACAGACTACTGGGTAGTCGGAAAGAAGTCTGATCAGAGAGAACTGTACGTGATCCTAAATCAAAAGAACGCCAACCTGATTGAAGTTAAYGGTACGTTCGGGCAGTCTGTACATTTGTGTCATTTTTACTAGAATATGCAGTCATAATCTCTACCTAACCCTTTCTTTTGTTGTCCTTTTTTTTATCCATTGCAGAGGAAGTTAAAAGGCTTTGTGCGACACAGTTTAACAACATATTCTTCTTGGACTGAACACAGACGGAGACTGTTTGACACTAAAAAAAAAAACTGTCAGCATTGCAGGATTTCGGTGACAGCATCAGCGTAATGCAATAATTGCATTGTAAAATAATACTATTAAAAATCTTTCTCACCAAGTTTTTTTTTCATTTAACCCACTTATTGTAATTATTTTCCTGTAATTATCTATAAAATACATTTTGCTTGTATGTACTGCATTTCCCATTTTAGTTTTGTTCTGTGTTTTTTTAATGTTATCACAGTGTCTCAGTTTAATTTAAAAATGTGTAGCAGAGAATTTTCCTGTTTTATTTGATGATCAGTGAGCTTTAAGATGTCAACATGTCAGATATATTGTAGTTTGCAAACAACCGCACTAAGCTTAACTCAAGAATTTGTTTTTCTTTGTGTCCAAAAATATATATTTTAATAAGATGTTCAGTTTTGAAACAGATGGTTTTGAAAAATCAATGCAAACTGATTTTTGTCACTGAAATTGTTCTACATTTACTGATTACAGGAACTAATATTTTTACATAAAAGGTGTCATCACTCAGTTTGCAATATCCATAGACAGTTTATGTTTTGTTATGATTAAAAAACTTACATATGGTATTGAGCTATCTTTTCTGAATATCCTAATTTAGCAACTTGATTCGGTCATAAAACAAAAGCAGATTTATTCTGAGCCATTATTCTGATCTGAATAAGACCCAGTCAGGAGTCACCTGATCCCAAATGTTTTTTTTAACAATTAAAAGTTATTATACTTAATGCATGTTTCATCCCATTTTTTAGACCTTTTTCTTTGTAGTATTTATATAGGGTATTATTAGTATAACTAAGCCTACAAACTAAAATCTAATTTTGAAGTTAAATTTTGTTCATATTAGTGGTTACGTTTTACCTGTTGCAAATAATGTAATCCTCAACCTGAATTGATAATTTGACAGCTTTATTTTCTAATCCTGGATAATCCACTTTTATGAAATAACATCTACTGTTGATTATGTTTGTGAGATTGTTTTCTATAATGTCTCATTTTTTCCTGTTTCAGCTCAAGCAAAACATTCACAACCAAACAACGCATTTATTTACATCTAGGGTGTGTTTAGATTTATCAAACGTTTTGAACTAGGTAACAGGACGAATTTACATAATAAATGACATTTAAAACAGCTTTTGAAGTGTGTGTGTGTGTGTGTGTGTGTGTGTGTGTGTGTGTGTGTGTGTGTGTGTG